GGGGGTTTGGTGTCTCTCCAGCAGGCCTGTCCGCAGGCCTAGCAGGCTGGCCGGTTGGCTGTCCGAGCACCCTGGCCCAGCCTAACTCTCTAGCCCTGCCCTAGCTCCAGAGAGCATCCTGCTCCCTCGGCAGCCAGGCTCACAGCCTTGCCGCAGGCCTAGCAGGCTGGCCGGTTGGCTGTCCAAGCGTCCTGGCCCAGCCTGACTCTCTAGCCCTGCCCTAGCTCCAGAGAGCGTCCTGCTCCCTCGGCAGCCAGGCTCACACTGCCTTGGCTGAAGCAGCCCTGCCCTTTTATAGCCCCCAGCTGGGCCTTAATTGGCCAATGCCGCCCAGCTGGGCTGAACTCCCCGGGCCTGCTCCAGGCTGGGGTTTGGCTCTTAAGGGGCCAGTACAGGGCAGCTGCCCTGTTACATACCCCTACCATCTGACATTTGTGAAGAGAGAACTGACTTGTTTATCCATTTAAATTCTGCTATAACCAAGGAATGAGGACACATCAATTGGCAAACAAACCTGTGTTATGTGCACTTCACTGAACCCTTAATTGTTCTTGAAATTTCTGTTGTTGCAGATACAAAATTTGTATGAAGGATCCTACAAATTAGCAGATATCTGCTTTTGTATCTGCAGGTTTCCACATCTGTGCATGTGGATGCAGATACTCATGGATCATTTTTGCAGATCTGGATACAAATATGTATCTGCGAAGGCTTCTAGTTGCAGGTAGCAGAAGATGGGGAAACATGGTGAGGTGGTGTGAAAAAACTGACCATGCACTTAGCATTTGACCTACAGTCACTAGGTAGAACTTGTTAAATGCCACTGATTGAGTAAAACCATCGTTAATTAACTTGTCTGAAGTATTTTAACATTTTCATTAAGGTTGCTAACTTGGCATTGTAAACATTTTTTCAGTTAACCTATTTTTAACTTTAGTCAGCAGGGGGCATAATTATCCTGTTTTATCAAATGCCATTCACTAACAATCACAAATAATCTTTCTTCAGTGTATTTCCTGAGTGCTTCTATACTGTTATCTTCAATTTGAACAATAATGTGCTCATATATCATTGTTTATATAAAAATATATAATCTATTTATATGCAAAAACATAATTTGTCTTGGTATCTAGCGTAACTTAGTTGCTAATCTTAGTGTTTTGTATATAGTAGAATACCTGGTATCTGAGTACACTTTGTGGTGATTATCAATCAAAATGTAGTAGCATCATTTTCTCATTTAAGATGAGCAATTTTTAATTGCAGCAAATCTTGGAATGCTTCTTTCTCTATAAAGCAAACTATTGAGTTACTGAATTCGTAAATAAAACTGACTTGTAAATACTGTTTAAAAAGTCTAGTGGGAAAATGTTAGTGCTTCAGTTGTCTAGTTAAGTAGGTGTGATAAGACCTCTTCTGACCCACTTCTTAAACCTTTTTTCATAAATGTTAGAACCAAATCAACAGCAACCATTTACAAAGGGCGGAGCAAGAGGTCATCAATCTAAAAGGAAAGGTGCAATATCTTTCTGCGCAGAACAAAGGACTTCTTGCTCAGCTGAGTGAAGCAAAACGTAAACAAGCAGAGACTGAGTGCAAGGTAACCAACATTGTGAGCGCACAATTCATGTACAAAGTATATATTCACATTCTTCTCTTATTTGCTACAATAGATCTGTATTTTCAGATATCCCCTGTCAGAAGTGGTACTGTGAAGGCTAACTTTTCGGAGTAAAGCCACCCTGTAAATTAAGTCACTCTGTATAAAAGGCTCCAGCTTATACACCAGAGTCAAAATGTAGCTTACGCAGACATATCTGATTGCTTTCATGACAAGGTACAACAAACTTGTTTAACCCGGAGTTAACAGAATCAATATAGCAGTGTGCAGGGTCCTAAGGATAACATTAGAGTGGAAGGGGACATGCCCCCAGGATCAGGGTAGTTGTGACAGTAATCATTGTCCAGTGGAAGTCTGTCTTTCTTTAGAGTATCTACTGTTGATCAGTCAGCAAACAAGAAGGCTGGGTAAAACAGGCTTCTTTGTTATGAGCAATGCATAAAAATAAAATAATGTGATTTGATATTATTGAAATCCCAGATTCAGTTGGCAGTGTTTGTAGTTTTAAAAAGACTATTTTTCTTTCTAAACTGCAACTTTGGTATGGCAATCAGACATAATAAGAAATGGAGTCTTGTGAGTCTCTTATAGTGAATTTCTTGTAAACCCATACTGCAAAATGTTCATTGTTCCTCACCTAAAAATCACATTATTTACACCAAAGTTGCTCCAGATTAAGTGTGTACTTTTTTCTGTCAGAAGCTGAAAACAAAAGCTAACACCATAAACTTTCAGCTGTATATGATTGTGTTCATATACTAAATCAAGTGAACATATGAGTTTTACCTTAGTAAGTGAAAATGGGCTATTTTGACACTTGCATTCCAGTAGTTTCCAGATTAATTGATTCATCCCCGGCAAAGTTGAAGAAAATTCTCAAATAAAACTCATTTAACTGAAGTGTATGCATATAAGAAGAAATAACATGCACCCAAGTGTATGTAAGGCTGTAATTCCATCAAAGGGTTCTGATGACAGTATAAACGAAGAGGGTGAAGCTTGAGTGGTTTATCACAGTCACTAAATCCCTAGAGGTGAAATTACATCCTTATTAATATGTATAGTTTTCTTGCAATATCACACAAACCTATAAATACTGAAATGCATGCATGTTTCACAGTATTCTCTTCAGGATAATGTGGTTGAATTGATTAAGTTCTACACACTAAGCTGAGCTGACCTAACTTTAATAGTCCTAAACTATGAAGTGGTGTGTGTATTCAGCACTCTTAACCAATCTCCTAATTAACTTCATTCTGCAATTGAGGAATTTTTTTCTATTCAGCTTCATTTGATTTTAATTGGAAATGCTTGCCACTTCTCTTAGCTATACTGTGCTCCTCCTCCCCTAGGAAATTCAACAACTCTTGAGAAATGATTTTCATTTTTCCAGTTGTTTACATTGTACTATTGGTAGCCTCTGTTGTTTACAATATGACCAAAAACTAAGTGCAATTGTGTGTAAATGCACAGTGGAATTTAACAAGCCACTGAAAGTTTATTTTTAGGGACCTGTCCACTGAATATTATTTAATTTAATGTCAGATCTTAGTCCCCTTGACTAAAAGCCTCACTTCATTCTGTGGTGATTGGTTTCTGATGCTGAATCAGTTATTGCTTTCCATATTTTTCCTTATTAGGTGTTGACACTTGTTCTATATAATGATGCCATTTCTTAGTGTATAATTAATGCACTTCCCCACTTGTAAATTCTTGTTCTTTGGGGTTTAATACTAATAATCATACCAAGCCCTTTCTAAATATTTGAAAATGTGGTGTATCTGCATTCTTTTCATAAAATGAGAGCACTTTTTGAGTATCCTCTAATTCAGATTGTGAATTAGGTTTGTGTTTATCCTCATCGTGGAATGAGGAGTAACGGTAGTTCGAACTAGGAAGCCTAGTTCGAACTACCTAGTTCGTGCCGCGTGTAGCCGCGCGGCACGGGGTTCGAACCAGCCGGGATTTAAAAATGGCGGCGCCCGTCTTATGCAAATGAAGCCCGGGAAATTCAAATCCCGGGCTTCATTTGCAATTGCGGTATGCCTACATTACCCTCTTATTTCAAAATAGGAGGGTAGTGTAGACATACCCTGAGAGGTATATGAGGCTTCTATCTCAACATGTTTCACAAATGCACATTTATAATGGTCTGAGATCTGTCAAGTTCATATTAACATTGTTAGTCTCAGTTTGGTACAAATACATTGTATTGAGTCTCTTCAGAATTCTGGTGCATTATGTGAACTGTGACTTTGAATGTAAGCTTGAAACAGGCCCAAATCTGAGTTTGTGTAGAATCCAGTACATTGGCATTCATACATATAAGCCTATTTGCAAATTATATTTAATAGACAATCGTGATTAACTTGCTCAAGTAGGACTGTTCTAATGTAATTTTCCCTTTTTTCCCTTGTCCCATCGTAGCTTCCTTTCCTCCATGAGCCTGTCACTTATATAATCTCTTTCCTGCTGTCCTCATATTATTGTCCCAACACCCACTCCTCCCTGATTTGCCTCTTGCTGCTTCTCCTCAATAAAAGCATGCTGTGGTCTCTCCATCCTCAAGAAACAGTCCCTTTACTCCATCTGCCATTCCAACTACTTCATCTCTGCTCCTTTACTCTCTAAACTCCAAGGCACCATATGCTACTGTTGCCTGTAATTCTTCTTTTCTAGCCCTACTTGCACCCACTGTTCCATTGAAATTAATCTCACCAGTATCTGAGTCCTTTTGTGACCAAAATTTCTTGCTCTACCTTATTTTCCTTATAAAACAGATTGCTTGCTCCTTCTTAACATTTTGTCCATCCGTGAGTATTTGCCCTCTCCTAGCTCTTCTACCCTCTGATCAGGTTTTCATTGTTTCTCAGTGGATCTTCCTATTTTATGGGCTGTCACACACAGGATCTTCCTTTGACCAAGTTCTCTTTTTACACATTTTTTGGCTTCTTGCATGATTTTAGCTGCCACTGGTTTGCTGGTAGGTTTGCGAGTTATTTCCTCTTTTAATTCACTTCTTTCAATGTATCCCACATCTCAATGTCTTTCTGACATAATCTTGGATGTTGCACTACCAAATTAAATATTATATAGCCAAAACTGAAATCCGTATCTTTACTGTCCCTACTGTGCCCACTTACCCTTTGATTACTGTTGACAATATAGTCATCTTTCCTACTGCCCATTAACCTAGATATTTGTTAGGCTCCTTCTGCTTTGTCCCACATAAGCAGGCACCATGAAGAGCTTTCTGTAACTCGTTTGAATTTGCCTTTCTTGTCGATATAGCTGAACCTTTTGATCAATTCCTCATCTCCTACCTCACCTAGGCTATGTCTAGACTGCAAGCCTCTTTCGAAAAAAGTGTCTAGACTACAACAAGTACTTTAAAAAAAGCACAGTTTGCATTACATAGTGCCTTTTTTTCAAAAGAGCACTTAAAAAATAAGGCATTATTCCTCATAAAGCAAGATTTTCCGTGGCTGAAAAATCTGCCACATTCTTTCGATTTATGTTCAAAAGAACATGGCAGCAATCTAGATGCAGGGGAAGTTTTTTTGTTTTTGTTTTTAAAGGCCACTTAAAAAACAAACAAACAAACAAAAACCTGTAGTATAGAGACACCCCTAGTGGCTCCTAGGATATCCCTGACAACCTCATACATCCCTACAGCTATTCACAAAACAGCTGCTAGGATCTTCCTTGTCTTTTGTTTTAAACACATCTGTCTCCCCTTTTTAATTACTTCCATTAGCTCCCCCTTTTCCACAGCTTTTAGTTCAGCTTCTTGTATGCTCTTTCAAAACCATTCACAATTTTGTTCCTCTTGTTTCCTGCTCTGCCAGCTATGCCATCCTATGCCTATATCTCCAGCTATTCATATCTTTTTCACACTGCTTTATGTTTGGCATGCCCTTTCTGATCTTTCTATAAGGGCAAACATGCCTTTTTGCATTCCTCCAACACCCACTGTCTCCATGATATTAACTGTAAGTTAGTTAACTAATAATGCATAGTGTGAAGGGAAGTTCGGTGTAGTTATCTTTAAAAATATGCATTATGTGCTTGTTTATATAATCTTGATTGTATCCTTCTTTCTCACACTGTGTATATTTGTTTTTGAGTAGAAGTTAAAGCCTGAGTGGTGGTAAAAGAATACAAGTAACTATTTAAATTGGCATTTTGTAGGAGCAAACATCTTGGAATCAGTTTGTAATAGCAAGTAGCTTCTTACATTTTCTGCTGTGTTTTCTGTTAATTTTAAAACTTAATGCTTTCAGAAAAAGTGAAACTGGCAAGTCCTCCAAGCACTATAATGTTTTCACAGTAGCCTTCCCTTTTGTGGAGAGAGCTAGGATTTGCCTCCCCCTCCTGTTTTTCCAGTAAACACCCAGCATATCCCCAAGGCCTCAGTCTTCCAGATGAGAAATGAACGGGTCTCCCATGTACACAAACTGTTTTCTTTTATTTCCTGAGGGACAGGCATGTATGTTGGCTCTTTGAACCAAGTTAAGAGCTATTAAAATTATAATGTCTGCATGGGTAACCAGAAAAACCTCAAGTCTTCATACAATCTAAATCTGGGAGTTTTCTTAGTAGCACAATTTAGTCATCAAAATAACCCCTTTGGAATACAATGAAAGGTCTTCCATTGTGGTATCAGGGCCTCTAGTTTCTCACAGTCTCTTAAATATTTTCATTTTATACCAACTAATAAAATATAGGTGAGGCCTGCTAAGCATGGTTCTAACAGAAATGCTTTTGAGTCAAAGAAAAGATGGCAGTTTAGGAAATGAAAAGGTACAAGAAATATGTTGCTGTGTCTGGGAATGATAAACATAATAATGTTAGTTTTCAGCACTAGGTATAATGAAGTGTTTAAAGGGTTCATGTGGGGGCTCCATGGCAAGGGGAGAAGAATAAAAGAGGCTGCAGAAAGTCCTCAAGGAGTGTCATGTCTTGGGCCTGAACTGACAGATCTTCATTCTCCAAATGCAAGTTGAAATGTTTCATTGGGCAACCATTCATTAATATTCAAAACCAAACAGGGCTGATCTTTACCTTCATTGTCCTCCATGCAGCGTTAAGAGCTGGCCCTCCCTACCATGTGCTTCACAAAGTTGAATGCCCCTGCATGTAAGTTCTTAAGCTGGATACACCTCTCTGAGATCCTCTCCTCTCATCTAAAACTTATTGCATCAGAAATGTATAATATTAGGGTTAATTAAGAGAACTGTGTATCTGAGCAAATGTAAAGTTCTTCAAGTATATACTAAGTCATGCAGTCAGGATAGGAACTATCTTGACTCTCTCACACTCAGTCACACACACAAACCCTAATTTTTCTGGCCTGATCGTCAGGTGGGAATAAAAAACTCCATTGCAATGTTGTTTCCTAGTTGGATGCTATTGCTTTGCAGTTTTTCCTTGAATTTTGCCAAGAATAAGTCATGTTGAGCAAACTTCACTGATCTATGCCATATCATACTGGGAAGAGGCTTCTTAATGAAGGGAGCTACTGTTTATTGACACATTTCCCACTGCTGAAGTGGAACATGCAGCAGGTTCTGAGAAATTAGCTGGTCGATTGTACATAGTAATGTACTGTCTCATGGCAAATAACTGAGGAATGAACAATTAGTGTATTTGTCTCGTTTTTGAATAAGTTGAACATACTTCTCACCTTACGCACTTATTCTGAACACTTCATACTTTATCAAGAATTTTAAATGTCTGTCAGCTTGTTCCTCCTGTTGTCTGATCAGTAGTTCATGGGCTAAATGATGAGTCAGCTTGAACTGTTTGTATTCATCATAGTCAAATTAAAAGGAATCCAGTTACTAGTACTAGTGATGTGAATGGTTAACTGGTTATCTAGTAAGCATCACCCTTAACAGGTGATGCTTACCAATTCCAGTTAATTGGTGGGGCCTGAAGCAGCTCCCACCTGCCATGGGGAGGGAGTTGCTCCAGCCCAGGGAGGGGGTGATGTCTGCCATAGAGAGGGACTGCTCTGGTCATCCAGAGCAGCCCATATCCACAATGGGCCTGGGCACCCTGCAGGTACTTGGTGGGGGCTGTGATGGAGTTGCCCCCCTCTCCTAACTGCACCCCATTTAATCAGTTAATTGATTAAACATAGCCAGTTAATCAATTAAACAGGATTTTACATCTCTAACTAGTACTGTTAGGGCTAAATTCTGCTTTAAGGTAATCTGCTGATCTCCATAGGATTTCGTGGGTGTAACTGGGGGCAGAACAGGACCCTCAGTCTGAATAAAATATGAGGTCAGAGTCAGACAGATGCTATGGTTTTTGTCACTTTGAAAAATACAGCTAACTAATGCAGTAGCACAAATACATAGTTATTGTGAGTGAATTTTGATCATTTTACTGTATCAGAAATAGGGAGGGAGTACAAAGACTAGAAAAATGGCAATCTAGTAACTAAATTTGAAAACTAAAGACAGCAGTTCAATTAAAAATGATATAATAGCCACACAAAAAAGAGAGAGAAAGAAAATGAGTCCACGGAATGTGCTCTAACAGTGATATAGAGGAAGAACTGATGTCCTTTGTGTACAGGATCCAAATAAGGCCAACTTGAAAATTACTTAGAAGCTTCAGAGTGGTTGCCGAGTTAGTCTGTAACAGGAAAAACTTCAAAAACAACAAATAGGCTAGATGCACCTTAAAGACTAACAAAACATGTAGATAGTATGAGCTTTTCGTAATGACTCTTCTGGAATAAAATAACATAAAAATTTAAATGGGATTGACTTTGATACTACCTTTACACAAGAAGTACTGTTACCTAACCAAGTCCTGATAACTAAAAGAGAAAAAGAGCATAGTTATTGGATGATTTCAAATAACTGAAATGTCAAGCATCAAACTATTGAAAGTGTGACAGTCTCCAAATGTAAGCAAACTTATTCTGTAGACTTCTAAAGGTATTTTACATGATATAAATCTAGGGATCTTTGTGGTAAGAATTAACTTCCATTACACACAGTGTTTTAATTGAAAGATTAAACAATCTTAATTTTTTTATTAACCTGAAGTTCAGACACTCTGTTGGGATGTATGAATCAGGTGCTTGATTAAAAGGACTTCAGTTCTACTTGTTTATCATTGTTAGATAATCCAGCATGGTGGTACCACGTTGCCAGTTGCCTTATGTGACATGAGTCAGGAGAAAGAGAATGTTTCACAAGAGTCTCTTGTTAGCACTGGAAGAAGGCCAATGTTTTAATTAGTGTAAACTAGGCCTGAATCTCCACAGGAGTAGGCATTTAAGTAGAATTTAGCCGCATTAGGTAGATTTTTCTGAAAAATGAGTCCACATGACCAAACCCATCCTGCCAACTTTAAGGACTGTTATAAATCAGTTTCAATACTCCTGCTTTTCACAAGGAGTAACAGTAAATTCTACCTTGCATGGTCAACTGTAGGGTAGCATAGATGCAGTGCTTCAAACAGTTGTCTGTTCATGGCCTCCTGATTTTCTTGTCACTCTGACGGGCCCTGGATAGACTCTGGACATACTGCAGCATAAGCAGTAAGATGTTTGCCATGGTTACCACAGCACTTTGCTGCTGAGCGGGGTCCATGCTTGTTTTGCTATGGTGTCAGCTCGGATAACCAGGAAAAAAAGGAGTGCAAAAAGATTTTGCCATTACTTTCAAGCAGAGGAGGTGGGAGGAGATAAGCACATTATGGGGTGCTGGCAACATATACCCAGAACCACCCTGTTCTTATCCCATTGGGTACTGAGAGCCTAACCTAGAACGCAGAGGGGCAACAGGAACTATGGGATAGCTACTCACATTGCATCGCTGTCAAAGTCAATGGTAGCCACTCCAGTGGGGATGCGCTTCATCAAACTCTTGCATGCAGTGGGAACGTGTACCTTCAACTTAAAAAAAAAAACCCCAAGGCCTAAGCCTTTCACAGCTAGGGGTGTGCTTTTCATGCCAACAGGTGAGACAATGGTTTGTGGTGGTGTTGTCCATTCTTTATCAAGCTTCTGAAGTTTAAGAGAAGAATTCACTTGTACTCTTAATCTAGTTCTTTTTCTGGGCGTTAATCTTAAATAAAAGTGTTTAAGCTTTTATTTTCCTCCCTTCCAAAGTAAAGAGTAGAGGAAGGGGGCCAGGGAGGATGATTGACATCTCAAGTTTCTTTTGCTAGGAATAAATTCAGTTATGTCTAGGCTTCAGTGGAACACTCATGGTTGGCCCATGTCAGATGACTTGGGCTTACAGGGCTCAGGCTGTGGGGTTATAAAATTGCTATGTAGATGTTCAGAGCCTAGGCTCTGGGAGCCTCCTACCCCCCTTCACTAACCCACAATATCAGAGAAAGTTTTCTTGAATTTACAGCTTAGCCCCATTCAACTCTTTTCAGAGCAAGGAAGAAGTGATGGCAGTCAGACTCCGTGAAGCAGACAGCATAGCAGCTGTGGCAGAACTCCAGCAGCACATCGCTGAACTAGAAATCCAGGTAACAAATGACACTTACAAATTCTGTATGCGTAACACAGTATTGTCCCCATCCTTACTGAGCATTATCCCTTTTATTTGCTCCCTTTTCCTTCTCACCCAAGGAAATGTCTATGCTACTGTAATGTCGGGTAATGCTGTACTGTTGAATATTTCCTTTTATAAATAAAAACCTTATGTTCTGTCAAGATATTCTTCTGGTAGGTTAATTACTGCTTCCATGCAGGTTACCTGGAGCCATGCATTTCCTCTTGGCTTCGAATTTGCTTATTTGCCTTTGTTGATTTCATCTAGGTATTGTAAACTACCACTGAATGTTTCAAAGATGGAAACCTTCCTCTTAGATTTAAAAAAAATCTGTTTTAGTTTGATTCCAGTCACCTTTCTTGTTAGGACCAATTCTACTGCCAGTGACCAGATGTGTAGGCGTTGGCCTAAATCCATATTTCAGTAGTGTAAATGCTGTATATTGCTTGATCTTCCTTATAATAGTCCTACTCTCCCTATTTCCTGTCATATATGAATGTGCTTCCTTTAGGTTCCCTTTTCAACTCCCTCACTCCAATCCATACTTCTGGGGCCTGGGGCCTAGTTCCATGGCCTGATGACTTGCGGACTCTAGGGATTATCAGAGACCATTATGTACCCTTTAGATATTTCTCTACTTTCAAAAATCTGACCCTCATTACTTACCTACAACTCTCCTATTTTAACTCTGTTGTATCATTTTTGATTGTCCTTCTTGCATCTTCTCATATGTGAACCTCACCCTTTAATCTCTGTCCTAACTGGGACATCTTTCTTCCCTCTGAGTTGCTGACACAGCTCCAGTCAAGAGCTTCCTCTTGCCTACTCACCAGAGTGCTGAGGGAATCCAAACACTGAGCCCCTTGATGTTCTAAGCCTCCAAAGTTGGAACAGAGTCCAGGCACTGCTCTTGCCTGGCATCTCTACACCCATTCTCTTGACTCTGAACCCTCTGTTTAGTATGCCTCTCCTGAGAGCAGTGACCACACGCCGCTCCGCCCAGTCCCTGGAACTAGTGCTAAGTCCTCAAACTCTCCTCTTTACTGCCCAGCTTAACAACTCTTCAAAAACTCCAGCCGGTGGTGGTGTGAGTCCACAGTTTACTACTCCCTGGAATCTGTGGTAGGCACAATGCATGAAATTCACTGATAATTTGCACAGTGTTCTAAAACCATTTTTTAAATTTAATTGCATGATAGACATTGATCTAGTTAAATAAAAAAAAGTATGTGTATTTCCCTGCCTGAGTTTCCTCAGTAAACTCCAAAGTATACTTTGGGATGGGGGTGAAGAGGAGTCGTCCAGGCTTGTGTTCTGAAGTTTTGCTGTCTTCTTCCAGTTCACCTTCTCTGGCTTTGATTGAATCTGTCATCCCTCTTCCTTTGTGCAGATCTCTTCCCATGAATTCTTTTTAAACTCCCTTGTTACCCCTGTGTCATTCAGCTGGTAATTTTCCACTTTTTCCACTTCTGCCATCCCTGCAAGCAAGTTGGAGAAATAGCTAGTTTCAGGTGTTTCCGTATGGATAGATAACAATTCTTATCTAACAAGTCACTATTGTCCCTGAGCTGGTAGAGAAGTGACACTTCTCTGCCAGCCCATAGTGGTCCCATATTTACTAAGAGGCATCGATGTTGCAGTTCTGTAGCACCAACTTCATAATATCAGCCAGAATTTCTAGTTAGAGACAGACTTCCCAAATTGTCCCAGTTGTGTCTATGGAAATGTTGCCTTCAAAACCTTTGTCTAATTTATTGTGGCAAAACTTTTCTCTTTCTTAGCTCTCTCAACTATTGTAGCTTTTCCGTTCCCCTTAGCAATACTTATATAATCCAAACTTTTCCTTTTTGAAGTCCCAACCTATTCCTTTGCTGCACCCTGGACATGTTGTAAGAATGAGAAAGTTATACAGCATCTGTTAATTTTCTTTGCAATGCTGACACCAACTTTATAGGCTGTCTTGTACAAATAACATTAACAGAGCCTTTTTATAAAGCGTCCTTTACCATGAATATTTTCCTCAAGCACAGCAGGCACAAAAATGATTGAAAGATAGAGCAATCATCTGTTTTATCATATTGAGCTTAGATATTGTAGTGATAGGTGCCTTTTGAAATGCATAGATAAGTAAAATGAGTATTGGGAAGGAATTGCTTATCTCTGAAGCAAGATAGCAAGAAAATAGCTGAGTTTTGGCCAATCTCTTCTCATACGTACTTTTCATATGTAGTACTGTAAACGTTTTATTTAAAAAGCAGGTAAAACCACAGTACTCTTAGTTAATGGATTTTAAGGACAGAAGGCACCTTTGGATCATTGACATGAGTTGCATGTAGTTGTACAACCCCTCTCCAGGCTGCATACAGAAACAAAACGGGGCATCTTTTGTGCAGCATGACCTCCCCTGTACAATGCACTGGGGTCATGTTGCATGGAGAATGCCATTTTGTAAAGCAGGTCTGCTGCACAGTTGCATGCATTGAGCAATTGGCCAGTTGGACTAGTTTGCCTCCTGTCAGGGTGTACAATTTCACCATTACCCCTGTATTCAGCCCAATAAGTTGTGTTTGACTAAAGCAGATCTTCCAGAAAGGCATCTGGTCTTAATCTGAGGACTTTAGGTGTTGGAGAATTCAGCACTTCCCTTGTTAGGTTGTCAAACATTAAAACATATACTTCAACAGCATAATCAAGTCACTTTTCAATTTATTTTTGCAAGGATAAAGAGATTGAGCTCTCTAAGCCTCATTGTAGGCATGTTCTCCAGCCCACAGACCATTTTTCTGGCTCTTCTCTGTACCCTCTCGAATTTTTCAGGATCCTCTAAAAATATGGACACAGAACTATATGCAGAGTCCTAGTATACATTGTCACTACTCATTATTCCTATTTATGCATCCAGTGATCACAGGAGTCATTTTTGCAACAGCATCACAATAAGAATTGATGTTAAGTTGTTTGTCCCCTATCATCCTCAGTTATTTTCATTCTCTGCTTTTCCAGGTTATTTATCTATTCTGGAGGAATGGCCTACATTCTTTGTTCCTATCTGAGCCACTTTGCATTGTGCTGTATTAAAATACTTGTTAAATATGACCTTGTTTTAGTGGGCCTACTTGATGTCTGTTGTTAGAGTTCAATGAGATGCATTCACTTTTTTCCAAAATAAGTGAATGTTGTCCTCTGCTTATAATTTATTTATGGTATTAAATCATTCAGTCATGGCTGACTTTTAGAGTTGCTAATATTTCAAGTTTCAGAACACCTTAAGCAAAAAAAAAACAATAAAAAAATAGAATAGTAATGGAGAATAAATGATTATTTTTTCCTCTAGTGAACTGTGCCTGTATGAAGTTGAAGATCTGTAGTCTTTATAATATGTAAACCTTTCATTACCATTATTAAGGTTGCAAAGTCAAGCATTCAAAAGTTAGGAAATGTCAGAATTAAGATTGCACACTAACGATGTAAAATCCCGTTTAATCTGTTAAATGTTAGGTTTAACAAATTAAGCAAGATCCTGGGTGGGGATGGCTCCATCTTACCTGGACCAGCCCTCAGTCAGCATGGCTGCCACTTTCAGGAACCGCTCCCAAGTGCCAGTCAATAGTTACTAGTTAAGCATCACCTAGTAAGGGTGATGCTTACTGGGTAACTGGTTATCTGTTGACATCTCTGTTGCATGCACAGTCTTAATTTGGCCTGTTTATGCATATGTATGATGATGCAATCTCTGACTACATTCTTACATACTGTTTTATATCTTAACTTTCCAGTGCTTGATTTTACAACCTTAATGTTCTTTCAATGTAGCTTGTGTATAATTTCCTAGCCTTGGGCGAAAAAAGCAAATAGGAAGAGACAGATTCAATCGTGGCATCATATTAACACCTACATGGTACATCAGCAGAGTAGGACCCTTTAGATCTGCCACTCAGACCAAACTAGACTAGCACTAGAGGATGACAAGACATGACTAGCAGGGGTGCCATTTCCGATTTTTCAGGGGAGGGGAGCTTTGCATACTGTAATGGGGGGAGGGAGGGGAAAGAAGAGTGAGAGCACAGAGGAGGTGGACTGAGGTCAGAGGCTTCAGCAGCGTTACTGAGCATGCTCAGTACAAGCCATGAACCAAATGGGGTGGGGATCCAACCCCATCTGCCCTCCCCCAGCAGATCCTCATTATGCAGGGCTACTAAGGCACTGGAAAACTCTATTTTTTTTTTTTTGGCAGACAACTTAGCAATTAGTTGACAGGAGCACTGTATCTAATTCCTATCTAAAAGACAATTAAATATTAGACCCACTCAGCTAGGATATTCTGACATCTTGTGGTGAGTAACTTAAGGGACACCGGTTAGCTTAAAAATTGTAATATATATTCTTACTTTGTAACTCTGGAGAAAGACAGACCCCATCAGGACTCCTGGCCACTCTGAGCTCCAGGAGGAAGGGAAGGTTGGGTCTAGTTGGTTACAGCAGGGGGCAGATACATGTCAGCTTTATATAAGAACATCAGAATGGCCATACTGGGTCAGACCAATGGTCCTTCTAGCCTTGTATCCTGTCTTCCAAGAGTGGCCAATGCCAGGGGTTTCAGAAGGAATAAATAGAAGAGGCAATCATCATGATCCATCCCTTGTTGCCTATTTTGTTTTAAATCTGCTGCCTATAAATTTAATTGGGTCAGTTTCTTGTATTATGTTAGTGAAGGAATGAACAACATTTCCTTATTATATTTTTCCAAACCATTCATGATTTTCTAGATCTTTAAGATATCCCCCCCTACCCTTTAGTTATTTCTTTTCCAAGCTGACAAATCACAGTGTTGTTTATTTCTCCTCATATGGAAGCTGTTCCTTACCCCTAATCATTTCTGTTGCCCTTTCTGTACCTGTTCCCAAATACAATATATAGTTTTTAGATGGGGTGACCAGATCTGTATGCAGCAGGGGTCGGCAACCAAAAAACCAA